TCAAAGTTGTACGCGCTAAATTATAAATGTTAAACGGTAAGCGAAGAATAGTGACTGGGGAAAAAACATGTCACGCTCAAAATGCGACAAACTGGTCGGTGGCATGAATTCATTTTCTGTTGAGTATGACGACATTTCAAACCTCCGCATTGATCAGTTATTTTTGTCTTCATTCTTTGTCGCACTAAGCGTCCAACTTTGCCTTTCCAGATCGCACCGCTGGTGGCAGCTGTTGATCAGTCACTTTCCAATTTGTAATAAAGTATTCTCGCGAATAGTCCTTATGAAAGTAGCAATGCAGTGAACTATTCACTGCGAACAAATCAAGTATGATTTTGGAGGGGACGCTCATCCTTCTTATGGACAGTTTTTAACTGCCTCTATATTCGAGCTTTCTGCTTTCTAACAGTCTTCGATTCACTTCATTTTCTAGTAATATAGTGTGTGTTTCTACCACACACGATAGTACAACACCAAGATCTGTAAGGAGGATCAGAAGGCAACCTTAGAATCGAAGGGCGGCTAACGGATTGCCTTATCGTTAAGATTCAACATTGTAACATCCATTCAACAATTTGTATTGTGCACGTAAAACGTCTTACAGCCGGTTTAAACGTATGTTTCCTAGGAATAACTCAGTAAATAAGAAGTCAAGTAGCGATTTAAATCTACTATTTAAAAATCTTCTCCAAGCAGAGGGTGGTTTTGTACAGTTAATTCGAGTAGTATATGTATTACCTTAATTTTTAGCTGGTTAGTACCAAAGGAAGTACAGAGAATGTATGCGAAAACCTGAACAATAATCTGAGTAACAGTTGTTTTCTTTTGTTCTGCGCTTGAGCGTTCACTAGTTTATTGCTTCATGGTTATTCTTTGCATGTAAATCGACTTTTAAAAAGCATTCCTGGACGATATTTTTTCCTTTGTCCCATTCAAACGGTTGAAGCATGAATGGCCTTGTGAATGCTTGCTCATCTCTGTTATGTATAATTTGCCAGTATTGACGACACTGTTGATAAAACTACTGTTTTCTCCGTTTCCTGATGTTCAGATGGTAGAAGTCATCGAAAAAGTTTCACGTTGATCAAATATCAAAATATTTTTCATACCGTTTTTAGAATAAATTTTTGTCTTGGTCCAGTGGTTCGCCGTTCTCATACTAAGGAATTTACTAACAACCAACATTCATACCAGAATTGTTATGTTTATTAGCATAAATAAAGGTACAGTTGTATTATCTTTGACCTTGTGAATCGTAGAATAGGGATAGATGGAAGGTCTTGTACTTAACTTTTATCCACCACTTAAACAATTCTATATGGAGTAAATAAGTCAATTGTTTTCCCGCATTTTCGTGTTTTTCATAGGCCAAAGTTTACTTGTTTTGTTTTAGCTTCGCGTTCAGAGACCCCTTTGCAGCCGAGAATTTCTAGCCCGACCGTGGAGGTCAGCGTACAAACATGTCAGTCGCGGGCGCCAGGCTCTGGCAGGCAAGGAAGAGCTGTTCCTTCAAATTATCAGGCGTCTAGGCGCGGTGGTGGCATGAATATGGTCGCCGCACAACGAGGCAATGGAAACAATATGCGCCCATTCATGCGCGGTATTTCTGTTTATTTGTGATTTTTTTCTAGTTTACCACCAGCATTATTTTTCTTTTTTTGCTCAAAATTAATAAGCATTGCATAAACGTTCTGGTGCATTGTTTATTCCTGTATTCCCGTACACGCATGTGAAGTTTGTGTAGCAGAAGAAAAGAGGACACGGTAGTGGTCTATTGCAAGGTTTTTCGACCTTGAACATCAAAGTATCTGTTGGAGTCTCCAAATGCGGCTTTCTGTCTGTTAATTGCTGATTTCCTTCTCAATTTATTCTCCATGCGATGCTTAAGTGAGCTGTAATT